CACATCTAAATCTACAAGCTGCACGATTGATAAGTTCCTCCTTTTTTGCTGCTTACTTACACGTATAACGTGTATACATGTGTGTGCAGCTCGGCGGACGAGCTAGTGGCGAAGGATCTGAGCGGCAAGGTGGTGATGGCCGACAGCTGGCTCGCGACGCACAAGGCCGGTGACAGGACGCTCGTCCAAGGCCTCGATGTAAGCACCTTTTGTATAGGAACATTGGGATGTTGCCCATTTCCGATTAGCAACGTTTTCCATGCATTTCCCAACTTCTTGTCTGATATTTATTATCTCTCTATCTTTCTACAGGACGAGCCGGGCTTACATCGTGGTGAATGATGATGGGTCGCTCTACAAATTCGCCATCTCCCTCTCCCTTACTCTCCCTGTCTCCTCTTCTTCTCCTGTAGGACGAGCCGGCTTACATTGTGGTGAACGACGATGGCTCGCTTGGAAACTTCGCCATCAACGCTATCTGCACGCACATGGGGTGTGTGGTGCCGTGGGTGGCGGAGGAGAACAAGTTCATGTGCCCCTGCCATGGCTCCCAGTACAACAACCAGGGCATGGTCGTGCAGGGACCGGCACCTCTGGTACGTATATCCTTGGTATTGCATTTGAATTCGTTTTTTACTGTGCGGTATATAGCTTAACTTGTTGCCTTGCTCAGTAGCTCTGTGTAGTGGCTTCAGTCCTTTGTCTGCCACCATGCCTTTTGATTTCCTGTGTTGCGTCAGTTGTTTTAGGCATGGGATTTTGAATAATTCTTTCCATATCTCCATGCATCGCCTTCCTTCCCTACTCCTTTCCCTTTCCCTTCTCCTCGAGTCTCTTGTTCTTACAGTAGGTGTTTTCTCCACAACCATTGAATCAGTGTTCCCTTGTTTCCCCTCCTCTTCTCTCCCTCTCCTCACTCAGTCTCTGGCCCTCGAGCATGCCAACGTGGTGGGCGGCAAGGTCGTCTTTTCCACGTGGACCGAGACGGACTTCCGGACCGGCGAGGAGCCCTGGTGGATGGAGGACTAGACGATGGTTACATGGTTACCATGTCACACGATCCAAAGTATGTCAGGCAATTGTGCTATATAATGTGGAATATGAAGCATACAATATTTGTTTTTGGCAACTAGCCCTCTCCAAGAATCAAGAGATGTGGAAGATAGGCTTTATCCACATGTGGATAGGGTTTACCATTTTTCTACAACTAGATTGACAATTACATGATAGATGGAAGTGATCAATTTCATAACACAACAGGTTACTACAAAGCCTCTTTCACAGGTATTTTAGTGAACAGTGCAATAAACAGTGCATTCGTGTTGGAAGTGGGAGGGTCGAATCTGAGGGTATGTGGTATACCACCACGTCTGCATGGCCAGCCCGTCGCCTCCTCCACTTGAATCAACTCTGAAACATTGAGGGAAGAAAAAGGTTGAATTATGAAAATAAAGAACAGATAGAATGATGGACAACTGATCATACAGCCAATGGCAGACAATGAGCTCTGAGAGGTTTCGAAGTGGGAGCAAGAAGCTTTCTGGTCTTGTGCTACACGTATGGAAAAGCACAGTAAGACATGACAGGATGTGCAATACTGGGAGATACATGACACAGCAAGCGCAAGCACGAAGAGAGGCAAAAGAATCAATAAAAATGAACTGAGCATGATGGTGGGAGAGATGCTTGATGTACTGATGACAGGTGCATTGTTGACGGCACACAGCTACAAAATTATGTTTTGAGATGTCTCAAAACACTTCAATCACGAGATGCATGATGTACTGATGACAGGTGCATTGTTGACGGCACACAGGTTCACATTTATGATGGTGAAAACGGGATGGATGATGGAAGAACGATGGATGGTGAATGGTGGGAGCACTGACCAGCGTCATGCGAGTGCCTGTCCAGAAACCATCTCACCACGTCCTCGTTCTGTGTGATTGTGAGGCTGAGAGGTGGAACATCACCGAGGAGGGGATTAGAGCACAGGGATGAAAAGGAGTGTTTGGATTGAGCGATGAAAAATGACATGAAAGTGCCTTGTCCAGAAACCATTGCACTAGATTCACGCTCTTTGTGACAGTGAGGCTGGGAGGTGGGGATCATGGAGAGGAGAAAAGTAGAGGGACGCAAACGGAGAGGGCAAAAAAACGAGGAAGGAAAAGAATGGACAGGTTACGAAAAGGAGACTCTGGAAAGAGTCAACAACCATGGAACCACATTTGAAAAAAACAAGTATTTGCCTTGTTTAGGAAGACCGCAGGTCAGGGAGAGGAGAAATGCAAAGACGGGAAGCAAATATACTTTTGAAATATTACTCCGCCAGTGTATTACTGAAATATTACTGAAAGATTACTGGAAGATTACTGAGATATTACTGAAATATTCCTGAAATATTTTGCCCTGCAGGCTCACCTGCATGTTGAGTAAACGAGCCTTCCTCCTGGCTTCAACAGCAAGAAGCCAGTCTCAAGAAGAGAACGCTGGAGCAAGGGAAAAGAGAGCGAAAAAAGAGGGAAACGCGGGGGACAGGGAAGAGCATCAGAAGCGAATGAGCAAGAGAGGAACGTAGCAATTTGGTGGATTCAGGTGAGAGTGAGAGTTGTACACCTGTGGAATCGCATATATACGAGGGGTACTGAAATGGCATAACAGCTGCAATGTATACAGGTATGTGAGTGTGTTTCCAGATAAAATCTGCTGAGATTGTGCCAGCTCCGGGACTTTTATCCGAGCGTTTACACCACAAATGGTGTAGACGAGATGAGCACTTGCAGATGACCAAGTACCAGTACAAGTCTTCGGACATTTCTTCCAGTGAGCTGCACTAGCGTAGGAGAAGGTTTAAGCAAGTAGGAGCAGATCCGGAGATGAGTACTTATACACGACACGAGTACTCGTGATTTGCTAGAGGTTGAAGTAATCGTGTACAAGTTCCAGGGCTGAAGCGAAAACATGGTTCGCTTAGAGACCACTCGGAATAAAACATTTCCTAGTTCTTGCAGGATTGAGTCTGTTGCTAGAGGTGAGTGGAAGATCCTCTCTTTGGTCCCTGTTACTTGCGAGCGATTTTTGAGAATTCTCAGAAATTACTTGCAGGGTCCAAACTGCAAGTAGCAGTTATGCTGTGTTCTGCAAAGTGGAGGTGATCTCACACTGCTGAGAGGTGACCTCACACTGCTGAGAGGTGACCTCACACTGCTGAGAGGTGATCTCACACTGCTGAGAGGTGATCTCACACCTGCCGTGCTGCGAGCGAGTTAGGCCTCTGGGGATTCAGGAACTGCTTGTTGAGGGTGTGTCATCCCCACAAGTCGTACTTGAGAATGTGCTTCAGCGGGGCGGTGGTGGCAATGACTGCAGCAGTGCAAAGCGAGCTACAATCAAATGCGGACATGCTCTCACCCACACTGCTGCGAGCGAGTTAGGCCTCTGGGGATTCAGGAACTGCTTGTTGAGGGTGTGTCATCCCCACGAGTCGTACTTGAGAATGTGCTTCAGCGGGGCGGTGGCGCTGCCGATTGCAATGCAATGAATACTTCTTTCTCACCTGCAACAAGAATGCTGAGGTTGCGTGCTGTCTGCAGACATGCCCTCACCTGTAGTGCTGCGAGGGTGCTAAGCCTCTGGGGATCTAGAAACCGCTTGGTAAGAGTGTGCCATCCCCACGAGTCGTACTTGAGTATGTGCTTGAGTGGGGGGGGAAGTGGCAGTACCTACATGCCCTCACCTGTAGTGCTGCGAGGGTGCTAAGCCTCTGGGGATCTAGAAACCGCTTGGCAAGAGTGTGCCATCCCCACGAGTCGTACTTGAGTATGTGCTTGAGTGGGGGGGGAAGTGGCAGTACCTACATGCCCTCACCTGTAGTGCTGCGAGGGTGCTAAGCCTCTGGGGATCTAGAAACCGCTTGGTAAGAGTGTGCCATCCCCACGAGTCGTACTTGAGTATGTGCTTCAGTGAGCCGTCGTGTGTGCACTCTGCATCCACCAACACCTGACGTGCGACATAAGAGAGGTGTGACACAAAAGAAACTGTGAGTATCCTCAACAGCCTTGCTTCAGTGAGCAATCGTGCGTGCACTCTGCATCCACCAACACCCAACACGCAAAGAATACTAGTTTTGAGGCGCCTCTAAACTAGATTGCATCCAACAACACCCAACGAATACTCTCCTCGGCAAAAGGAGAAACAGAAGCGGTTGGGTGTTGGGTGTTGTTGGTCCACCAACACCAACACCCAACGAATATTCTCAAGAGTGAACCCGGCAAAAGGAGAAACAAAAGCGGTTCACTTCAGTGTCTCGCGCTTTCGCTCTGCATCGAATAGCGCCAGGTAAACCACCTGCGGGTATCATGTGAAAACAGAAGAGTTTTGAGACGTCTCAAAGCACTGCTTTCACTCGGCGTCTAACAGCGCTACGTAAATCACCTGCGGGTAACATAAACGACCCGGGAGAAGAGGGAGAGCATATATGCACTCTGCACCTACAAGAACGTGTGATGTGACTCGAGGGATGTGGCTGGACGAAGCTCGGCAGCACAAGGAGTTGAGGCAATGGAGGAGCACCATGAAGGATTCATATGCTGCATGGATCCTACAGTGCCATGCTGCAGCGCCATGCTACAGTGCCATGCTGCAGTGCCATGCTGCAGTGCCATGCTGCAGTGCGTTGTACAAAGAGAACTTTGAGACGTCTAAAAAAATTTCTCTTTACACGAAGCTCAGAAGCACAAGGAGTTGAGGCACTGGAGGAGCACCATGAAGGATTCGTATGCTACAGTGCGTTGTGCGCTTTACAACATGCTTTAAAATGGTAACATGCTTTATGGTGATAACATGCTTTACAATGATAACATGCTTTATAATGATAACATGCTAAATCATTATAACATGCTTTCTAATGATAACATGCTATATCATGATAACATTCTTTATCATGATAACATGCTACAAAATGATAACACGGTCTAGTATGCTACACATGCTCTTTAGGGTTACTGACTCACCTTATCGTAGCCCTCCTTGCCGCACCCAGCACCCGTGTCCCACCACTGCCAAGCAGTCCGCCCCACAAAAAACAGTTCCGGCCGCTCCCCTCTCTGCCATTCCAATGCTGATGCTCCCGATCCTGGTGCTGATGCTAGCAATGGTGCTGCTGTTGCTGTAGCAGCCGCATCAGCTGTAGCAGCAGCACCGCCTACTTCAGCAGCAACACCAGCTGTAGCAGAAGAAGCAGCAGCAGCAGCTACAGAGTCCTGACAAGCCAACTCAAACATGCGGAGGTGCTTTGCTCTCCTCCTCTCCTTCCTCGTCCGCTTCCTCCTCCTCACTCCCCCCCCCTCCTGCTGCTCTCGTCCCCTCACCCCTCTCTCCTCTCCCTCTGCTCTCTCCACTACCTCCTCCATCTCCTCTCCTTCCTCCATCTCTTCTCCCTCCACTCCCTCCAGCTCCTCTCTTACCTCCTCTTCCCTTCTCTCTAATATCCCCTCACTGTTGCTACCATCCACCAGCGCCCCTTCTTTCACTGCTGCCCTACCTACTCCTATTGAACCCACTCCTATTGAACCCACTCCAACTGATCCTACTCCCAATCCTAGTTCCGTACCTGCCTTAGCCACAGGAGGCCCAAGGCGGAAGGCAGTGGCATCCCCAAGGAATAACCGGCACCTGTCTGTCAGCCGGTGCTTCTGCAGCAGTGTGCGACACGCAGCCAGGCGGGCCGGGGAGACGTCCACTGCTGTCACAGTCCCCATTACAGCAGGAGCGCTCGTGCTTCTAGGAGCAGGGCTGCTGTTGAGCGGAACTGAGCTGTGAGCACCATCATCATCTCTCGCTGTACAAGGGGCAGAAGAGAGCCCATCCAAAATCAAGCAGAGCTTGGCACCTGGAGCAGGGCAACAACAGTGTGAAAGGCTTTGAAGGGGAATCTATAAAGGCGTTTTGAAATAGGACCGTTTAGTCCCAACCTGTGGCAGCACAGCACAGATATAGAAGATATGGTCCTGGAACTAACAGGCTGCGAAGTAGGCCCCTAGCAATGATTTGCAGGCTCACCCGTTTTCGATACCTTCTCTCTAGGCCTACTTGCCCGTGAGCTTGCACTACTTAGTTCCTCCTGGCCCACCTGTTCCTTGCTCTCTATTTGCTGTACAGGCTCACCTGTTTAATGTTGATTTTACACAACGATACAAGAAGGACCGTTCGAGGACATGGTCCAACAGAATATGATACTTATGAGATGCCTCAAGGGACGGTTTTTTTGGGCGACATGCTAAGCACCTCAAAACTTGCAGAGCAGAGGTCAAGGACGTGGTCTGACGGGTCATGCACCTGCCAATCCTATGCTACAAATTTTCTAAACTGCAGCTCGCACAGTGTATGGCTAGTCCTTGTGATCGAATCGATAAAATCCTCAAAAATCGTCCACTTTACATGGATAATAGAATGCGTACCTGGGGCAGCACAGAGGTCGAGGACGTGGTCTGACGGGGATAGCTGCAGCGCTGCCACTGCTGCTCCTGATGCACCATCCATGCCAAATATCTGACGATGGCACAAGCAAGCAAGGGAGTGGGAGGAGACGGGGTTATTGAGCTGACTTTTAAGTCGACTCAAACGACACAAGCAAGCAGGGGAGTGGGAGGAGACGGGCTTATCGTGGTGTAGAGCGCCATTTGAGACGACTCAAAAGCTGCAGCGCTGCCACTGCTGCTCCTGACGCTGCATCCATGCCAAATATCTGATGGCGCCACATGAATTTTCACCTGGGCCTTCCTGTACGCCAGGGCCAGGGGGTCTAAAACGTTGAAATCTCCTGTGAAAGAGCAACACTGATGGTGGAACCTTAAGAAAGCACTGCACCTGAATTCTCACCTGGCCTCTCTTATACACAGTGGTGCCCGAAATGTTGAAATCTCCTGGGAGAGAGAAGAATCCCTTCAGCCATGGTACTGCCACCATGCCTGCTGCTGGTATTCCTTCTTTCCCCAGCAACAGCCCTGCAAGCTCCTCCTTCACTTCTTCCACCTCTTCTTCACCCAGCCCCCCTCGCAGCCTGGCAGAAGGGACGAAAGGGAAGAAGGATATGAAAGAGGAGAAACAGCAGCGAATGAAGTTCCTCCACTTCCCATCAGCCCTGCAAGCTCCTCCCTCACTTCTTCCACCTCTGCTTCACCCAGCCCCCCTCGCAGCCTGGCAGAAGGGACGAAAGGGAAGAAGGATATGAAAGAGGAGAAACAGCAGCGAATGAAGTTCCTCCACTTCCCATCAGCCCTGCAAGCTCCTCCCTCACTTCTTCCGCCTCCGCTTCACTCAGCCCCCCTCGCAGCCTGGCAGAAGGGACGAAAGGGAAGAAGGATATGAAAGAGGAGAAACAGCAGCGAATGAAGTTCCTCCACTTCCCATCAGCCCTGCAAGCTCCTCCTTCACTTCTTCCGCCTCTGCTTCACTCAGCCCCCCCCCCAGCCTGATAGGATCAAGGGGACGGAGGGGACGAAGGGAAAGGAGGAAGGAAGAGGAGAAGAAAGCTCGGTTGGGACTGCTGCTGCCCTCCTCAGAAATCCCACAGCAGGGGAAATGCAAGGTGACTTTTGAGGTCCTCCCCTCCCCAGCAGCAATTGGGGAGGGGTCCTCCCCTCCCCAGCAGGCAAGGTCACTTTTGAGTCGACTCAAAAGTCACCTCGACTCAAAAGTTGCCCTCCTCAGAAATCCCACAGCAGGGGAAATGCACTTGGGGTTCCTCCCCTCCCCAGCAGCAGCCCTGCAGCAACAACCTCCTCCCTCACCTCGTGCACCTCTGCTTCACTCATCCCCCCTCGCAGCCCGACAGAAGGGGAGGGAGGGAGCAGATGAAAGACGAGAAGAAGGCTCGTTTGGGGTTCCTCCCCTCCCCAGCAGCAGCCCTGCAGCAACAACCTCCTCCCTCACCTCTGCTTGGCTGAGCTACCCACTTGCCTGATGTATCGGGGAAGGTCAGCGTGGCGGCTGTAGATGCTCGGATCGATCCCATTCTCCTCCAGAAACTTGAGAAACTCGCCGGGAAACGAATGCGGCTGCTGTGATTGCCGGAGTTGCTGCTGCTGCTGCTGCTGCTCCTGTTCCTCTTCCTGTTGTTGATGGCCCATCGGGTTATCTGGGTTTAGCTCGCCATTAGCCTGATTTCCAACAGTCACGCTTTGCACAGTCTCATTCGCGATTGTCTCGTCTTCACTGAGCATTCCGGCTTGGCGCGCAGTGGCTTGCGCGCGGCTGTTGCGATGGGCCAGGAGTCCCGGCGAAGGGGAGCGCGGAAACTGCGGGGATTGGCGCGCAGCGGATTGCGAAGCAAGCGGAGAAAGGGGGGACCAGCGGAGCGAGCAACGGAGTGCGCGCGAAAGGGGAAACTGACGCGAGCGATTCGAAAAGAGTTGAGTGCGACGAAAGGCGATGGTACGCGACAGAGTGCGACAGAATGCGAAGCTGTAAGTTGCGCGAGAGGAGGGGAGGAGTGACACGCGCGAAGGGAGGAGGAGAGGAGAGGCCATGCGACGATTGAGTGAGACACGCCGAGAAAATGCTTCTACTAATGACTTCTGCTACGTGTTTAGGCCATGCACGCGGAATACGCTAAGGAGGTGAAGGGGCGAAGGGTGAGAGGGACGAGGGAGAGTGGAGGCAGAGCAACTTATGATGTACGCGTTGCGATTGTTTCGGTGGCCTTTGGTAAAATGCGCCAGAAGCATGGCCCGCAAAGTAGAAGGGGCAAAGTTTGTACGTAAAATGCACTTCCAAAATAGAGCTCTTACCTATAATGGTTCAGCGCTCCTAAACCTTCTAAGCCCGAAGGTGGATTGATGTCAGAACCGGTAGCAGCCACATCCTGATCTTCAGCAGCTTCAGCTAGATGTTTCTCAGCATTCTGTGTAAAATCCTGCCTTTTGCTTTGCATTGCACAACCACTGAATCCACATCATACATTGTACATTGAACAACCACCTAAGCCCTAACTCATCCTTTCAAGGCTTGAAGGTGGTTTGCTGCCAGAGGTTGATGATATCAGTGGCCTGGTTAAGAAGAATGATCACCCGCTTGCGCGACAGCCACGGCTTGCTCTCCAGCAGCTCCCTCAGCTCCTCCCAGGCATCCTTGCGCGGCCAGAACATGTACGAGCTGACCGGAACAGTGCCCTGCCCGGGAATCATCTGGTCCACGGCAATCCCGATGTTCTTCTCTGAAAAATTGTGTGAACGGGAGAAGCACAAGAGAGGAATGTGTGAGATGATGAGTACAAAAGAATTTGTTCTATTCACAGCAATACCATTGTTACTCTGAAGATTTCCTGAGTCATTGGTGAAAAGTGTTCTCCAAGAGAACGGAAGGAAGGAAGAAGGTAGAAACTGAAGAGTAGGGAATAGGAAGAAGGGGGGAAATGAGAACAGGATAAGAAAATTGGACTAGAGAGAGGAAGCAGCGATGGGACCACTGCAACTGGAGGTTCAAGAACCATTGTCCAGCATTAAACATTGACTCATGAGAATCAGAGGAATCTGAAGAGACAAGACTGATTTTTTTTTTTTTTTTTTTTTTGGCTTGTACGACATTGTCGTAAGATAAGACTGAGGAGTCTTCATTACATGCAGACGTCCGCGTCTGCGCTAAAGGATAACGAGTCTTTCCGTGTGGCCATGAAACTGCGTTTCACTATTGCATATTTTTCAAAAGTGGCTAAAATGTGGCCATGAGACAGCTTCCTAGTCTTAGTCGAAGATCAGTCATAATAATAGTACTTTCCGACTGATTACGAGTTGAGGGACCTGAAGAACTTCAAACGGTGACTGTTTCTTAGAACAGATCCTGTAGTCCCCTGCATTGCAACATTTTGCCGGCTCGAAAATCGACTAGACCCCGCATCGACTCAAATTGACCACGTAATCCGCTGATCGAGATGGCAGTTTCCGTTCATGAACATCGCAAGCCCAAGATCGTGCATGAGCCGTCCCCATTGCAAGCGTCACGCCGAAAGTGCCACTGCAGAGCAACCCCAAAGCAGCTGCGACATTGGCACCGGTTCGTGCACGTCAAGGAGGAAAACTAGACTACAGCGTCGGAAGGACGAAACTACCAGCTGCAGCTGCAGGAAACATAAAGTAAACCCGGAACCCTAGTTCTCGCATTCGCGTGTCCCTGGCTTCTCGTCCGACTATCAAGGAATATCGATAACCCATAACAGTGACCTCCCCTAGGCCTAGAGGCTCGAGAGCGTGAAATGCGGGACGCACCGAGCCAGACGAATTTAAGGAGCAGCCGTTGCTTGCCCTCCTTGACGGACAGCACCTTCACCTTCTTAGGTTCCTCCGCCGCCGCCTCGCTCCCCGCCTCCGCCACCGCCGCGCGCGGAGCGACGACGCGCTCCGCCCGCGCGGGGAATGCGCGCACCGCGGGAAGGGCTTGCGCGGAGAAGGAAGGTGTGCGGAGGGAAACGCGCGCGGAGCACGCAGTAGCGCGGGCGGCGGGCGCGGCTGTGTAGGCGGCAGGGAAGGCTACTTGAGATGTGGCTGCCATGGCTGCCCTGTTTCTCAAGGTACAGAAAAAGGAGAGACTCGTCACGTAGCTAAGTCAACGCTAGGTGACAGGCGATATACTAGTGTGGGAAATGGGAGAGGGAATGAAAGTAATTTAGGGCAGCACTAGGACTCGAAAAGCAGTGAGTCGCTAACGTGGGTTTAGATGCGCTGTAAAACGTTGGAGTCAGGTGACGAGCGTTACAGAGTGGTCACACCTGGCTTGGTGGGCTACGCTTAGGGAAGCGGGAAGGTCGGTTTGGAGATTGGGGCCGAGGCAAATATGGTAGGGCTCCGATGGGTGACGTGTCGAAAAAGTGATGGGCGGTGACGGTGAGTCATCCGAAACTGGCCTGGAGGTGATGGAGGTGCTGCCATTTGGCGCTAATTACTCGGTTTGTAAGTGCCCCGTTTGCGTCTCGAAGCTGTCATGCATGAAATATGCGCATATATACGTATATACATCAACTCACCACAACTTTAACCCTCATTGTTCTAGTGTATTCTTGCTGCGTCTGTTCACTACTGAACCTTCCAATGGTATATGACGTACCGTATCAGTACCTACCTTCAGCAATTTGGGTTCAAATCTGTGTATGTCATTGCACATGTCAACCATCTTGACACAAACTCTCATGTCATACTTGCCAACCAACACCCACCTAGAATACAGGCAAAAATAACTAACAATCATCACTTCTGGTGTCCATTGTTTCAGGTCTAAGAATCCACTTCATTCTTTTTCCTGAACCACTTCCCCCATGCCTCCATTTTGTCAACCCCACATCTCCACACACACCCCCACGCCTCCTCCCCCTCCTCCAACTGCCCAGGCACTTCCAGCATCTTCACTGCTTTCCCCACCCCCATCCGCACCAACTCTCTCTCATACACCCTCTCATCTTCCCCAGGAATCTCAATCCTAACCTCCTTCACTTGAACACCCCCCACACTCCTTCCACCACCACCACCCCCTAGCGCTCGCCCCATCTCAGACAAATTCTCCAGCAGTTCAAACTCAGGACTCAGCCCCATACCCATTCCTGTCCCCCCCATAGGGTCCCTAAACCCTGGAATCGGGTCCCTTGAACCCTCCGCAACCCTGAAATCATCCAGCGTATCTAAACCCGTCTGACGGAGGATCAACGACGGCAATGGTCCAGATTTCTCGCACCAGAGGCAGAAGAACCCAGCAGTTATTAACTCAGCCCCGGCCGGCGACACGAGCCTGAGTGACAGCACCAGCGAATCCCGTTCCACTCGGAACAGGTCCGGGAACATCCGTGCCTCGTTCGCAGCGTAGAAAAAATCCGCAGCTGCTTGGGTGAGATGCAGGGAATAGGCCGTGTCAATAATGGCGTTGGCAACGGCACGGGTGGGCTCGATGGGGCAGGGCGGGAGGGTGAGGAAGGAACGGAATTCGGCGAGAATGCGCGGTGGGACGTGCATGAATGCTGGGTCGGCGTTGCTGTCGATGTCGTCTACGAGCTCGTCCGGGTCAGCATCTTCCTTGCTGGAGGTTTTCTTGTCTGCCACGTCAGCAGTGCTGGGATCCAAGCCAGCGGTGTCTAAGTCCACGTCAGCACGTGGCCGTCTAGCAGAGCTGCTGCTGCTGGTATCCTCCTCATTCCCATCGCTACCCTCGTTGCCACTACCATTGCTACCCTCCCATTCCATAGAGGCCAACAGCACCCATTCTCCCTCTCCCTCACTCCCCGACCCCTCCACCCCTCCTGCTTGCTCCGCTCCGAAATACACCCTTTCCCCCTCCTTCTCCCTCCCCACCTGTTTCGGCCTCCTCACGCCTCCGAACCCCTTCTTTTCCTTCTCAAACCCCTTCTTATCACTCTCAAACCCTCTTCCTCCAAACCCCTTACTAACCTGCCCCTGCCCTTCCCCCCCCGCTCTCCTCCCCTTCCCTCCCCTCACTCCACTCCCCTTCCCTCCTCCTCTCCCTCCCCCACCCCGTCCCCTTCCCCCTCCCCCTCGCCCTCCCCCTCTCCCTCCCCTTCCTCCCCCCTCCTCCCTTACAACAGGAGACTCCCCTTCCTCCTGATTCGCCTTAGCCCACCCCGAAACCAGAAACCCCGACACCAGTGGCGGCGCCCCGCACAGCACGGCGTGCGACATGAGCAGCAGCAGCAGCACCGACAGATGCTGCTTCGTCCGCCCCTCCACCACCGGAATCAGCCTCGTCAGCCGGAAAAACCCGATCACCAGAGGGAAGAAGGCCGGGTCGGCCCTCCGCAGCATACTCCCTCCCTGAATCCCTCTGTAGGACTCTCCCCCCCTAATATCCCTGTTTCGATTGACTAGGCGCTCGTTGACTATGAACTGTGCGGTGTGCATTGCATCGTCAAAATCTCCTCGGTCGATTTGGATGGAGAGGAGGGAGGAGAGGAGGAGGAGGTCACTGGAGTAGGTGTAGGGAAGGGCCTGAGCAGCATCCTGATCGCTCTCATCGCTCTTATCGCTAGAATGGATGTCGGAGGGCCATCGAAAGGAGAACGGTTGCTGCTGCTGCTGCTGCTGCTGCTCCTGTTCTCCCAGCAGCGTCGCTGTCGCTGTCTCTGTCGCTGTCCTGGTCACCGCACTGAACTCCTCGCCGAGGCCTTCATACTGCAGCACCGGCCGTGCAGGATAGACCATACTCATGCTAATACCCAAACCCACACCCATTTCCATCTGCAACCCAAACGGCCCAACCAACCCCTCTATCTTCTCCAGCCTCTCCTCCTCCCCTGCTGCTGCCAGCACATGTAATCCCACACCCCAGAACACAGCTAGGTCAACGGCGCGTGCACGGGTGAAGTAGACACGAAGGACTTGGTAGCATTCTTGCTCTTTGCCGGCGGAAGCGAGAGAGTGGGCGAGGGCGAGGAGGGCGGAGGAGTAGGGGGTTATGCTGAGAGAGAGGGCTTGGGAGAGGGTGGAGAGGGCTTGCTGCCATTGGCCGAGAGACGATTGACCTGATGGGATGGGCAGGTGAGAAAAATGAAGGAGGAAATGAAACAAGCTTACATCTTTCCGTCAAGGAAGAGAGAGAGAGAGCTCCTGATTACATCAAAAGCACCTGAAAGCTGAAGGTTTAAGTTTAAGTTTAAGTTTATTCAGGTCGTGACCCAGACAACATAAACCTGAAAGCTGAAGGATTGAAACCTTGTAACATCGAGACTCACAATGGATAACATCACTGTAGCACTTGACAGATGGCACGATCCCATTGGCCAGCAGTCCCTCAAGCACCTCCACTGCTTGCCCTGCCAGCAGCCCCTCACGGCACAGCCTCACCACCCTCTCCGCCATCTCCATACTGGGGCTCCTCGGCCCCTGCTGACCCTCCCTCTCCTCCTCCTCCTCCTCCTCCTCCTCCTCCTCGTCCCTTTGCTGCCTCTGTCCCTTCTTCTGCTTCTGCTTCTGCTGTCCCTCCTTCTGCTTCTGCTGTCCCTCCTTCTGCTGCTGCTTCTCCTCCTGCTTCTGCCGCTGCTGCTGCTGCTTCTCCTCCTGCTGTTCCCCCTGCTGCTGCTGCTTCAGCTTCTGCTGCTGTCTCTCCTTCTGCTGCTGCTGCTTCCCCCCTCGTGGTCCCTCTTGCTGCAGCCTCATCACCCACTCCGCCCTCTCCATGCCCAGGCTCCGCGGCTCCTGCTGCCCCTGCTCCTCCTGCTCTTCTTGCTGTTCTTGCTTCAGCTGCTCTTGCTCCTGCTGCCCCTGCTCCTGCTGGCCTTCTTGCTGTTGTTTCTGCTTCATTTCCAGCAGCTGCGGTTGCTCCAGCCCCTCCTGTTGCTCCTGCTGTTGATTTTCCTGCTTTGGCTCTTGTGACTGCCACTGTCCCATCTCTGTCATCTCAATGATGATGTTTTGCCGTCTCTCTTGCTCTTGCTCTTGCGCTTGCCCTTTCTCTTGCTCTTGCTCTTGCTCTTGCTCCTCCTTCACTTGCTCTTTCTGCTGCTGTTGTTCTTGCTGCTGCTCTTTCTGTTGCTGTTGCTCTTGCCCTTCCTGCTGCTGATATCGCAGCACCTCCCCCTCCTGCTCCTGCTCCTGCTCCTCCCCCTCCTCCCTTTTCACGAGCATCTCCCCTTGCTCACCAAATCTTCCCACAGCCCTGAGAATCGCATCAACCACGCCCCCTCCCTCCCCTTCCTCTCCCTCCCACTCCTCCCCATCCTCCCCCCCACCGCCTCCACTTCCCTCCCGGCCAATCCCGTCGCGCCACGTGTCAACCACGCTGAGGTACACCCTGGCAGCGCCACGTGGCGAGTTGGCAGCCTCACACGCTGCCAGCATAGCACCCAGGCTGTTGCGATTGGGCAGCACGCGTTGAGATGCCATGAGTGCCAGCACAGCGAACATGTGCTCTGGATGGGCGTCTTGCAGAGCCTGAGAAGGGAAGGGCAGTGTAGGGTTGGGGTGGAAGAGGCAGGGAGGGTCAGGGAGGGGAGGGAAGGGAATGCAAGTCAGCAGTGCGCTCTGTGATGCCATGAGAGCAAGCACTGCAAACATGTGCTCTGGATGGGCGTCTTGCAATGCCTGAGGGGCAAGGGGAAGAGTGGGGAGGGATGGGGAGGGGCATGGGTACGGGCATGGAGTAGGGTGGGGAAGGGAGTGTGAGTCACCAGCATGCGTTCTGATGCCATGAGTGTGAGCACTGCAAACATGTGCTCTGGATAGCCGTCTCGAAGCTCTTCAGCTGCTCCAACGGCAGCAGAGAGTCAGCAAGCATTCATTTCCCCCACATCGAAGCACCTTACATAGCGAGGAGTAACACCCTAAAACGAGTACATGACTCACCAGCAGCAGCATGTTATACGCTGACAGGTTGCCATATCCCAGATGCACCCTCTTCACTTCCTCGAACACCCTCTCCCCACTCTCATTGCTCCCATTTGAGGAACCTTGTAACGAGTATGCAACTAATAACGAGTATGCAACTAGTAACGAGTACACCACCACAACTCACCAACACGAGAGTGTTATAAGCCGACAGGTTGCCATGCCCGGGTTGCACCCTCTTCAGTTCCTCCAACACCAGTAATGCCTCCCTCAGCCAGCAGCCTTTGATAGTTTCTCACTCACCTTGAGGCATCTTATAACGAGTACAGCACTCACCAGCAAGAGAGTGTTATAAGCCGACAGGTTGCCATGCCCAGGATGCACCCTCTTCAGCTCCCCCAACACCAGCAGTGCCTCCAAGACCGTCAGCACCTTATAACGAGTACATGGCTCACCAGCAGCAGTGTATTATAAGCCGACAGGTTGCCATGCCCCGGATGCAATCCCCTCAGTTCCCTCCAACACCAGCAGCGCCTCCCCTAGCTCTCATTGCTCCCATCTTTAGGTACCTTATAACGAGTATGCATCATACAACAATTAAGATTCTCACCAGAAGCAGTGTATTATAAGCAGACAGGTTGCCATGCCCGGGGTGCACCCTCTTCAGCTCCTCCAGCACCAGTAGAGCCTCCCCCAGTCGTCCCCCCCTCCCGAGCACGTCTATCAACATGCGGTAGACGGGGGGGGAGAATGAGAGCCCTTGCGCTCGTGCTGCTGCCACTAGCCCTTTCACCTGGCAGAGGATTGAGACAACACGGGATGCAAATATGGCGGGAAATGAAAGGGAGTGTGGCAGTGAGAGCTGCACAAGCGCCTCCCCCAGTCACCCCCCCCTCCCAAGCACGTCTATGAGCAGGATAGACGGGGGGGGGGAGAATGGGAGTCTTGCCAGCCCCAGGCCCAGGGCCTGCATGACAGCAGCATAGGAGCGCATGGAGAGACAGACGGGAGCTTGCACACACCACACACATGTCACATACACACAACATGCATTCTGCATACACTACAGCACTATACACACCTGGTCGAAGTACCCCGCCAGCCCCAGGGCCTGCATGACAGCAGCATAGGAGCGCATGGAGAGACGCAGACCCACCCCTTCAGTCTCCATCACCACTCGTGCCACATTTGTCATCGCTGCTGCCGTGCCCTCACTGCCTTTTGAGTCGCCTCAAAAGTCTGCTGCCTGTCGTGCCCTCACTCACCTCTAAATCGCATATCATACATTCAACGCACCTGATCAAAGTGACCTGCAAGGCCCAGCGCTTGCATGACAGCAGCGTACGAGCGCATGGAAAGATGCAGCCCCGCCCCCTCCACCTCCATCACCACCCGTGCCACATCCGCCATCGCTGCTGCCTGCCGCGCCCTCACCTCCTCCTCCTCTTCCTCCTCCTCTGTCTCCTCTCCCCCCCACTCCCCTCCCTCCTGCTCGTCCTCTAAATCGCTCTCCACGTATCCATCTCCCTCCTTGTCTGCTTCTTTTCCCTCCTCCTCCTCTCCCTGGGCTTGAGGTTGTCTGCCTTCTTTTAGTGGAAGGGAAGGACCCTCAGCATCAGTATCAGTATCAGCAGACGCATCAGCAGCAACAGCAGAGGCCTTGCGTCTGTTTCTGCTTCTCTCTCGTCTTCTTGGGTTGCGGGCACAGCGACGGGCGTACACCTCCAGGAGAGTGTTGTACGACTCCTGGTGATGGGGTGTGGTGTGATGAGGTGTGATGGGGTGTGATGGGGTGTGATGGGGTATGTATGGGGGATGAGTTTCGCAGTTAGAGGTCTTTAGGGTATGGAGGAAAGCGCAGCGACGGGCGTAGACTTTTAGGAAAGTGTTGTACGACTCCTGATGAGAGGGAGAGGATGAGTTGGGGGTGAGTTGATGGATGAGTGGATGAGTTACACCTTCAAATGAGTTGTGGGAGGAGCAGGTGTGCACCTTCAAGAGAGTGTTGAAGGACTCTTGGCGAGGAGGCATGGGTGGATTGGGGGATGAGAGCAGAGGTTTGGGAGTTTGGGTTGGGAGAGGAAGGTGTGGCAATGGGCCACCGACCACCCAACCCACCAATCGCAGCCGACGATAGACTTACCAGTCGCAGCGTGCCACAACAGGACTCACCAATCGCAGCGTGCCACAACAGGACTCACCAGTCGCAGCGTGCCATCTGGCGACAGCACCCGGAGCCGATTGACCACCATCTCCATCTGCTCCATCCTGCCCGCCCTCCCATACGCCATCATCAGCGCATTGCACACCGCCATGCTGTCCCTCACTGTCGGCTCAACTCCAATCCCCAGCTCTTCAACACCAACGTAGATGGAGGCGGAATCAGCAGCAACAGCAGCTGAGGTGGCGATAGTTGTGTTTCGGCTAGGCTGCTCGTCCATCTCGGCCACTAGAGCATCCACCTCGCCCCACATGCCCGCCCGTGCATACCCCATGATCAGCTGCGCGTACGACTCGCCACTGTGAGCGATCGCCATCTGCAGTGCGGTGGGGTGCGGTGGGGTGCGGTGGGGTGGGGGTGGGGTGGGGTGGGGTGGGATGGGGTAGGTGGGTAGACAGGGCATGCTTGCATCCACCTCGCCCCACATGCCCGCCCGTGCATACCCCATGATCAGCTGCGCGTACGACTCGCCACTGTGAGCGATCGCCATCTGCGGTGTGGTGGGGTAGGGTGGAGGAGGGTAAATATGACAGGAATGGGAGAGACACAGAGTAGAGGGAGAAGGTAGTAGGTAGATCTCATCTTCTCCATGACCACCCACTACCAAGACCCATGTCTCCTAGCTACCAAGAGTCCACCCTTCCCACTGCCAAGATCCCACCTTCCGCATGAGCGAAGCCACTAGTTTCATCTCGACCCCCAGCCCGGGCTTGCCCAGCGCCGCCAGCAGCAGCAGCAACATGCACAGGTCGCCCGACCCCAGACCCCACACCTTTCCTACTAACAAGATCCCACCTTCCTCCTCACCACCCAAGCCTCACCTTCCGCATGAGTGATGCCACGCGCTTCATCTCGACCCCTAGCCCGCGCTTGCCCAGCGCCGCCAGCAGCAGCGTGCACATGTCCGCGTCTATCAGCGCCCGCGTGGCCCTCGTCCCGCGCATCAGCTCGAATAACTCCAATGCATCGCGGGTGATGCCTGGTGGGAACGAGAGAATGGGAAAAGAGGGGTCAGTGCTATTCGCCGCCAGGTCTGCACCCGTCTACCAGCACCCGTCTGCCCCTTGGCCCGCGCATCAACTCAAACAACTCGAGCGCATCGCGGGTGATGCGTGGTTGGAAAGAGGCACAGGGTACAATGGGAAAATGGGGTCAGTGCCACACACGTCTGCGTCTATCAGCGCACGGGTGGCCCTCATCCCGCGCATCAACTCAAACAACTCGAGTGCGTCGCGCGAGTAATGCATGGTTGAGGGATGAGAGCGGGAATACATGGAAGAGAGAGGGACTATTTGGAAGAGGGGGCCGGGGCGGCACACACATGTCCGCGTCTATCAGGGCGTGGGCGCCTCTCGTCCCGCGCATCGACTCAAACAGCTCCAATGCATCGTGAGTGATTCCTGGTTGGAAGAGGCAAGGGGTATGACGGGAAAATGGGGTCAGTGCCCCACGGATCCGCGTTTATCAGCGCCCGAGTGCCTCTCGTCCCACAAATCAACTCAAACAACTCCAATGCGTCCCGGGTGATGCCTGGTTGAGGGATGAGAGCGGGAATACATGGAAGAGAGAGGGATTATTTGGAAGAGGGGGCCGGGGCGGCACACACATGTCCGCGTCTATCAGGGCGCGGGTGCCTCTCGTCCCGCGCATCAACTCAAACAGCTCCAATGCATCGCAGGTGATGCCCGATGAGGGAACAAAAGATGGAGAACGGGGAAAGGGGGGGTCTGCGCTATACGCCAGGTCTGCACCCGTCTATCAGCGCCTGCGTGCCCCTTTGAGTTTTGAGGCGCCTCAAAACTCGCCTCAATTCTCAGGTCTGCACCCGTCTATCAGCACCCGCATGCCCCTCGTCCCGCGCATTAACACAAACAGCTTGAACGTGTCGCAAGTCACGTGCGGTTAGAAAACATCCAGGGGATCCAAGACAGTGAGAAAAAAAGTAAGACAGTGAGGGTCTGCTCTAAAAAACTCCACGTTCATGAGCGATGGACGGACAGCCCTCCTCGCCTCGCCTGCGTCTATCAACATAAACAGCTCAAGTGCAAACAAGCTGATTTAACTTTTTAGTGAGCTAGAAAAAAATGTCGAGCAGATGTCATTGTTTTCCACGTCATAGTTTTTTACATATCATAAACCTAAATTGTGAATTGCCCTACCTATGAAACGGAAGGAAGAAAAAGAAGAAAAAAATATCGTCGTGACCTGACAGATCGTGATGGCACTCCAACTCTTCGTGAATACGTCCGAAAAATGAGCACTTTTTAGCATGACGATTTTTACACACACACACACACACACGCACGCACGCACGCACTCACGCACGCACGCACGCACGCACGCACGCACGCACGCACGCACGCACGACGGACGCGCGCCGGCGCCGGCGCCGCGCCGCGCCGCGCCGACGCACACGCACACGCACGCACGCGCGCGCACACACACACACACACACATACACACACATACATATAACGTGGACATGGCCGAGAGAGGGACAAACGATGAGGACAAACCAATTTTGTCATCGAGAAGAGTGTGCATACCGAGAGCGGAGAGTGTAAGCATGCCGAGAGCGGAGAGTGTGAGTATGCAGGCGCGGAAGAGCTGCCTATCGGGCATGAGTCCCGCGTTCATCATGCAAGTGAGGTAGAACACGGCCTTGCTGGGGTTGCGCTTACAAGATAACCTCAGGATGAAAACACAGCTAGTGACTTAACATACCGAGAGCGGAGAGTGTGAGCATGCAGGCGCGAAAGAGCTGTCTGTCGGGCATCAGTCCCCGGTCCATCATGCAAGTGAGGTAGAACACGGCCTTGCTGGGGTTGCGCTCGCGACACAGGCCGAGGATGAGCATGCGGAAGGTGAGCTGACAGGATGGAAGCATTTGGATGTGTGAAGCATAGGATGGAAGGCCTTTCTGAGCTTTTGCTTGTGATTGAGGCCAAAGATAAGCATTTGGAAGGTGAGTTGATTAGATAAGGGGTGGGAGAGACGCTTCAATGGAATGGAGGGAATGGATGGAAAGGGCGGATCAAGACTCAAGAGGGCATTCCAATGGTTGGGCACCACACGCTCACAGGGCATGAAAGAATGAAGCATGCCCTCCCACCCACTCACCTCGTTCGGTGTGACCATCTGTAAGGTACCCACTCTCTTCCACCCCTCCCTCTTCAACCCCACAATCTCATCCATGAGTCTCATCGCCTGTGCCACGCCCACCTCCCCCCCCTACCTCCCCGTCCTCCCCCCACTCACCTCGCTCGGTTTGACCATCTGTAAGGTACTCTCCCTCCTCCACCCCTCCCCCTTCACCCCCAGAATCTCATTCATGATCCTCATCGCCTCGGCCACTCCCGCCTCCTCGCCTTGCCCCAGCAGGGCCTTCATGACTGCATGCACGTCCTCCAAGCGAGGAACCAGGTTTCTGCGCGGCATCCTCTCGCGCAGCACGCGAGGTGCTCGCTTCAGCTCCCCCTCTTGCAGAAGTGCACGGATCAGGAAGGAGAAAGTGAGCTGTGCGGTTCATGGCAGTACGGGGTTCAGAGAAGAAGAAAGAAAGGAAACGCTTATTGTGATGCACCCTGCCCCAGCGATAAATGCATGCGCATTTGTCAGGTGTGGAACTAGGTTTTTAAATCCCTGAGAGCTCTAGCGGGCTGACGAAGGTTCAAGAGTCTGCATCCAGTCATTCTAGAACGAGCAGAAACTTCCCGAGTCCATTACGGGTCTCATGCGCCTGGAGAGCCTGCGCGTCGTAGATTATGAGAGCATCACTCAGACGCCCAGAAATTTGGAGAGCGTTGAGAGGCTCAGGTACCTGGAGGTAGACATGAGAAAATTTCCGTCCAAACATGTTCGTGACCGAACCGAACCGAACATGTATTTTGGCAAAACGTGCTCGCCCGAACATGTTTGATGTTCGGAAAGGGTGGGAGGGAGGTCACGGGAGAGGAGTTGGCACACTGAAAATACACTCTCGAACCTCGAACATGTTCGGGTTCGCCCCCCTATCACGAACACCGAACACCTAAAATCGCCAAAATATGTTAGGGCGCCCACCAGACATGTTCGTGGAGGTTCGGGCGAACATGTTCGGTGTTCGCCTGTTGCTCATGCCTGCCTCGAGGTGAGATTGTGTCCGGTATTGCTGCACACTCTATCACTTCTGCCACCTTCGCTCAAGCGTGCATTTGTTGAGAAGGTGTATTCGTTTCGCTCAACAAATACACGCTCGAGCGAAAGTAGCAGCAGTGATAGAGTGTGCAGCAACACCGGACACAATCTCACCTCCAGGTACTTGCGCCTCTCAAGGATCTCCAAATCCCTAAGCATCTGAGTAAGACTCTCAAAATCCACGATCCGCAAGCTCTTCACGCGCTTGAGACCCGTAATAAACTCGAAAAGTTTCCGCTCGTTCCAGAATGACTGAATGCAGAGCTGTGGAAGCTTCGTCAACCCACTGATGCTCTCAATATTCTCAGATAACCTGCACATGAACCAGGCCAAACAACAACTATACCACTCATCTTTCCCTCCCATTCTCACCGGAGTGGGTTTCACTTTGCCGCCCATCGCATACATCTCCTCCACCATCGCGTAACATCCCTCCAATCCCGCCCGCCCGCCCTCCTTCAAGCACCCCTTCATCACCAGGTGGCATAACGCCAAAGAAGGCCGCCCTTCCCCCGCCTTCCTCGCCCCTTTGTCCGCCCACTTATAACCCCGTTCGGAACCCCCCTTTCCCCCACCTTTCCCCCACTCTGTGCCGCCCCCCTTCCAATTCCCCTTGCCTTGCCCTTTGCTCTGCCCCTTGCCCTGCCCCTTGCTCTGCCCCTTGCTCTGCCCGGTGCTCTGCCCCTGGCCCTGCTCTTTCCTCATTTTGGAAAACACAGCAAGTGCTCGCAAGCCCTTGCCGGTGCCAACCAGAGCGCCAATGAGTTGGCAGTAGACACGGTGGGGAATGGGGATGGGGGGAGGATGGATTTTCTCCCACTGTTCCTGCTGCTGCTTTAACTGCTGCTTCTGCTGCCCCTGCTGCCCATTCTGCCCCTTCTGCCCCTTCTCATGCTGCTCCTGCGTCTCTCGCACTGTCCCCATGACCATCGCTTCAGCCTCCTCCACCCGCCCCAAGCGAAGCAGCATCGTTATAACACCACCATACGCATTTGACGTCGGCCCAAACAGCACCCCCTCTTGGGTATTTTCAGGTGCCCCCAAAACCGCCCCAATTACCACTCCTCCTTGAATTTCTTCTGGCACCCCATTCTCTTCTCCACTCGCCGTCCTCCTCTCAATTCTCTCTTCCCCCCGTTGCATCCCTCTTTCGAGGCTTCTCGCTTCTCTCGCTCTCTCCTCCTCCACAATCTTTCTCCGTTGATCCGTACTCATCCCCTCCCACTCCCTCTCCCTCCTCTCCTCCATCCATCTCAGCAGCGCTAATGCTTTCTCACTCTCCTCCGCAATCGCCAGCTCATACAGCACCTGCGACACCTCAGCACTGCCCAGAGACACGTCATCACTGGCCTGATCCACCTCAGCACGACCAACCTCACCGCCTTCCCCCTGCGACACACCGCCGAGCCAGCTCATCAGCTTCGGCAAATCCCGAACCTCCTTGAGCCCTTCAATAGCCCCCAGCAGAAGCGCCACCTGCCCCAAATCCACCACTCTCAACTCCTCCACATCCAGACTCCCTCCTGCTCCTAAACCATTCCCCCCTCCTTCCACCTTCCCCACTTTGTCTCCTTCATATTCCATCTTCACCGCTTCCAACTCCTCGCTAGTCTCACTTTCACCTTCGCTCATCTCTCCCCCTTCTCCCATCTGTCGCTTGCCTTCGCCCATCTCTCCCTCCTGTCCCTCCCTGCGCCCCTCACCCAACACTCCCTCACCCCCATCACCATCCCCCTCTCTCCTCTCTCCCACCCCATCTTCCCACACGTTCTCTTCTCCTCCCTGCCCTATCGCCCCCTGCCTTCCCTCCCCTTGCCTCTCCATTGCCTCTTTCAACTGAGCAGTCTTTTCAGGCGTCTCAAGAATCACCTTGCCTTGCCTCTCCAAGGCCTCTTTAAGCTGAGCTGCCAGCAGCATCACCCTTCTCGCCCTCCTCCTCTCCCTCTTCCTCTCCACCCTCTGCTGCTCTTCCAGTCTCTTCTTCTCCTCCTCCTTGCTCTGCCTCTCCGCCTCTTGTCTCACCTTTCCACTCTCATTCACTCTTTCAGGTGCCACTAAAGTCTCTCTTCCCTCGCTCGCCCGTACAGGCGCCTCAAGATCCTCTCCCCTCCTCCTCATCCCTTCATCCACATCTGGTCTACCCCCTGCTGCTTTTTGAGCCGTCTCAAAGGTCTCTCTTCCCTTGCTCATTCGTTCAGGAGACTCAGAGGTCTCCGTTCTCTCTCTCGTCCTTTCAAACACTCTCTCATTTGGATTATCTCCCCTCGTCCTCCTCATCCCTTGATTCACATCTGACAGCCCCTCTGCTGAATCCGCCTCTCCTTCCTCCACTCCAATCCGCACCTCATTAATCTTTTCTATCGCAATCCACCCCGCGTTATCCTCTTCCTCACTCTCTTCTGCCTCCCTTGGCACAAACCCCTCAATTCTCTCCTCCTCCTCCTCTCCCCTTCTCCTTTCCACCTCCCCCGAACTAGACTCAACCCCTGGCCTCTCTCTCTGCTCGCTTTCCCCCTCCCTCTCACCCCTCACTTCCTGGCTCGAATCCCACCCAGCCGCCAACTCCCCCTCGTCTCCCCCTGCCTCGTTATACCCCTTATAGTCTGCCTCGTTGCTAGCGCCTTGCACATCCAAGGGCTCGTCTTTGATCCCAGGGCTTGGCGCTTTTCGCTCTGCCTTTGCCACACCAGGAGGAAGAGGAGAGGAGGAAGGAGACAGAGGAGGAGAGGGAGGAGAGGGAGGAGGAGGAGGAGAGGAGGAAGTAGAAGGAGGAGGAAAGGGAGAAGGAGGAGTAAGAGGAGAACGGGAAGGAGAAGGAGGAGGGGAGGTAGAAGGAGGAGAGGGAGGAGGAGGAGGAGGTGAGAGAACGGGCAGTGAAATGGAAGGAGAAGGCGTGGCTATGCGAGATTCTGTACTGCTAGAAGGAAGGGGAGATGAAAAGGTCGATTCAGGTGGTTTGGCAGGTTCAAGGAACTGGGCAGGTGATTTATCAGGTTCTGGCGATTTGGCAAGTTCAGGTGATTTCGCAGGTTCAGATGACAGGGCAGATTCAGGTGGCTTGGCTGCTTCAGGTGATTTAGCTGGTTCAGGTGACTTGGCAGGTTCAGGTGGTTTGGCTGGTTCAGGTGTTTTGGCAGGTTCAGGTGTTTTGGCTGGTTCAGGTGTTTTGGCAGGTTCAGGTGACTTGGCAGACTTGGATGAAATGGGTGGGTCAATGGTGGCTTCGAGCGGTTTGGAGGGGTTGGGAGAGGTGACTGACTGGAACCATTGAACAGCATCAGCGAGGCCACGTGCCACATCTCCCCCAAACCCAAACAACCCCTTCCCACCACCGCTGCTGCTGCCACCACCGCTGCTTCCTCTGCTGCCACTGCTACTGCCACCGCTGCTGCTGCTGCCACTCCTGGTCACCTCCATGCCCATGTCTCTCTGCTCACTGCGGCCTTCAGCAGCCTTCTTGCTAGCGGAGTCAAGATAAGCTGCAAGCTCTGCCTCAACCTCTGCCACATCAACTTCTTTAGAAGAACCATCCCTCCTCTCAATCACCATGACCCCCTTCCCCTCCTCTCCCCTTCCGATACCACCATCTTTCCCTCTCCCAGAGCTCTTGAAAAGTTTTAACAGTTCGCCTAGCTTCTCCCCGTTTCTCTCACCCCCGCTCTCACCATCCCTCCCACTCTCACTGCTGCTGCTTTTCCCGCCCTCACTCATCCCTATCTGCCGCTTGGCTAAGCCTTTCACAAACACATGCACGAACATCTCAGCATCACTAGGCACCCTCATCCCTCCCTTCCCATCCGGGATCCCTGGCATGGGCAGACCCAAAAACCAGAGTGCTGCAAGGCTATCCATATCTGAAACGCCATCCATCCCCTTACTCTTCTCCCACATCTCCTCCTCCTCTCTGCTCATCCCGATACCCCCGCTTCCTCCACTTCCCCTGGCCACCTCGTCTGTTCTAGCCACAGACTCAAAATTCCTCCTGCGTGGGTCGGCGGCTTGTGCTCTAGACGCCACCCCCCTGGGAACTCCCTGAAGGGAACCCACCCGTTTCCCTCCCCCCTTTCGGTTTCCACTGCTCTTTTTCCATGCTGCCTTGCCTGCGGCCTTTCCCGCTGCTGTCGCTCCAAAACCTTTTGGCTTGGAGTCACCTCTACTGCTGCTGACGGTGCCATCGTCGTCTTCGTCGCTGCTGCTGTCGCCATCGTCAGTGGGGTTACCACTGTTGGTGTTACTTCCATCCTCCGGTTCTGCAACAGGAAGGGAGTGGGGAAGAGAGTGGGGAAGGCAGAACGCAAAAGGGTCTCTGACTTGACCAGTAGGTAGGTAGGTCAGGGAACGGCCAGAAGGGCCGAAAAAGGCCGCTATCTCTGGGAACATTAATCGGAGAAAAGTTCTCTTAAAGTGAAATTACGAGTGATACAACATGAGTTAACCAACTTCGAATCCAATGAAATCAATATGAACTAAGGGCGCCTAACCATTTTGGTTTTGACGGTTCGTTATTCGGACGGTCCGTTCGAAATAGTGGTAACGTTCGTCGCCAATGCTCGCAGATGTTTCGCTAGTCCCCCTGCGACGTTGCTGTCGCAACATAACCGCATGGAACTTTTTCCGCAAAACGGAGGGAACCCGTCACTTGGACGGTTACGGTTTGTCAGCAACGAATTGATCAAATATGGCGACTTGTTCGTTTCTAAACGTAGCTTCAAGAAAATCCAAAATGGTTACGTGCCCTAAGTCTATTTCAAGTCAGTGAGTGTACCAACTAGGCTTGGCTGAACCTGATAAATCAGCCACTTCCAGAGACCCAGGATTGCAGTCAAAACCGAGCCTAGAGGCTCGGACCTTACCAGGGTCTGGAGGCCTGGGCCAGAGCGAGAAACGAGGACGGTCGGCGGGAGGATCGGGCGGGGAAGAGGGTCCCGGCGGAGTGCTGCGTCCTGCCGCCGTCCTTGTGCTAAACGACCGACCCACACCACCTCTAAAGCTCTCGTGCGATGGTCTTTGAGTCGGCCCAGAAGCAGGATGGGGAGGCGAAGAGGGTCCCGGCGGAGTGCTGCGTCCTACCGCCGTCCTCGTGCTAGACGACCGACCCACAGCACCCCTAGGTTCATGAGCGAAAACCCCCCGTCGCGGGGCCAGGGACGGTGCCCGCACGTGAACTCCGCATGCGCCAAATGCTCCGCCGAATGCGCGCGGAGAACATTGCGGTCGGAAACCGCGGTTATTATCAAGCCGAACCGCCTGATTGCAACTCAACGTGCGGTTAGAGGTGCGAACTACACATAGAGCCGTTGAGGTGCAGAGTAGAGGCGTCGAGGAACGACGCGGACGGAAACGAATTGACGACGCCGCTGAAGAGCCGTGCGCTGCAGCCAATCCAACTGAGCCACGTGGCGCTGACGTGACATTCGGACGATTGATGGTAGAGGCAAGCGGCTTGGCCATGGGTCTCATGCACGCTGAGCATACCACGTGTCTTCGAACCTGTGATACCACGTGGAATGCTTCTATTGGCGAGCGGTTGCGGGATTCACGATGTCATTAAGACCCAGTACAACAACCGGGACCCCTAGCCATTGCGACGCTATTATCGCGTCCGACGCGAGCACTCCATAGCAAGCACGGCACTGTAATCTTCTTATGCCGTCAAGAATCTAGAAATACTCTTTTGCTGAGACTCAGCAGCTTCTGAATTGCGTGGCCTAGACGTCATATGCAAGGGGAGCGTGAAACAAGGCAGAGCGGCAGTTGCATAACGGAACAACTGACGGAATGCGATGGTGGAAGAAACGGATGGGGCGGGAATCGGTAAGTTCAATGTCAGAGGCAACTTCAAGAGGAGATGAAGAGACCGACCGTAATCGGATTCAGCACATCGAAACGAACAGAACCGATATCTATATACATAAAGCCGAGCTGCACCAGAAAACAGAGGCACAAAATGAATGGTCAGGCTGAACAATCTTCGCAGCTGACATTCATGACATAACCAAGCGACCGCTAGAAGGAATTACGGTTTCCCGATTATATACACACGGGTGACGTCATCACATGCCGCCCCGCCCGCCCTGGCACAAAGGGAATTGAGGCAAAACGAAAAACCCGCGGAATCCCTCCGGGCCCCCGAAAATTCCCGGCTGACAAGGCCAAAAAACCCTCCGAAACCTGCGGGTTCAATGTCGTATTCTTATGCTCATATATACAATTTCGGGGACATTTGTCGAACAGTGCTCGACGTACATTGGCCAATCGCCGTCGAGCACCGTGCACCCCCGACAACGCGTGTTACACCCGGTGGCATGTCGCCCACACGGTGGCGCTGACGGTCGACGGTTGCGAAATACCGACTGTCGCAATCGACGGAGACGTCAACTGCGGCCAACCTGTCGCCTCGTCTGTCGAGCGAACTGTCGCTGTCGGATGGGCGACGAGTTACGTCTGTCGCAGTCAAACGTTCACGTCAACTGCTGACTGCCACGTCAAATGTCTCAGTCTCCACGGGGAGCAACATCAGCCCAAGGTCACTGTATAAACCTGAATTCATAGTAGAAGCACCACAGTTTCCTCAGCAGGCCAGGATTTAGGGAGAACTGCTAGCTTTCGGTGGGCACTGATGGAGACCGATCCGTCGACGACAGCGCCTTCCCGGCAGGCGGACGTAGGACGGATACCTGTCGAATTGGAGTCCATCTCGACACCACCCCCTTCGTCGTCTGGAGCCACGCCAGTTTCTTCCGCGCCCCCTTCGACGACGCGTGCCATACCGGAGGTGGCAGCGCTCACCTCGACGTCGCGAGCCATACCGGTAGTAATACAGCCGGTTGTTACGGACCAGCGTTCGACGGCCCCTTCGACGACGCGTGCCATACCGGAGGTGGCAGCGCCCACCTCGACGTCGCGAGCCATACCGGTAGTGATACAGCCGGTTGTTACGGACCAGCGTTCGACGGCCCCTTCGACGACGCGTGCCATACCGGAGGTGGCAGCGCCCACCTCGACGTCGCGAGCCATACCGGTAGTGATACAGCCGGTTGTTACGGACCAGCGTTCGACGGCCCCTTCGACGACGCGTGCCATACCGGAGGTGGCAGCGCCCACCTCGACGTCGCGAGCCATACCGGTAGTAATACAGCCGGTTGTTACGGACCAGCGTTCGACGGCCCCTTCGACGACGCGTGCCATACCGGAGGTGGCAGCGCCCACCTCGACGTCGCGAGCCATACCGGTAGTAATACAGCCGGTTGTTACGGACCAGCGTTCGACGGCCCCTTCGACGACGCGTGCCATACCGGAGGTGGCAGCGCCCACCTCGACGTCGCGAGCCATATCGGTAGTGATACAGCCGGTTGTTACGGACCAGCGTTCGACGGCCCCTTCGACGACGCGTGCCATACCGGAGGTGGCAGCGCCCACCTCGACGTCGCGAGCCATACCGGTAGTAATACAGCCGGTTGTTACGGACCAGCGTTCGACGGGTATTCCGGTCACTGTTGAAGTGGGTGGTGTACAGACCGAATTCCCTTCGACCGTCAATCCATACCTGTGTACAATCCGTACTTGGCGACCGGAACACTTGAAAGCAGGATTCTCCGGTGTGAGGTTCCGCTGCTGGGAGTTCACCAGGATTCCACACGGCCGAACTATGTCTCTGGAAGCATGCACTACAAAGCTTGGGCCTGTAAAATTCTGGCACCCGAGGGAAGCAACTGAGTGCCTAAAGAGGAGCAGGTGATCTACGAGGACGAGATCAGTAGGGAGATCGGCGACGATATGGGGCCGAGATGGAGGGAGGCGCTGCGTAACGAGGAGCACCTGCATGGGCCGAAAATAACGAAGTGGCGCTTGCGCGCGTACGTCGAATACATGTCGACTGAAACCGACCAACAGGCGGCTTCGTTGTATATAGGCCGGACCAGAGTCGCTGGAAGGAAGGCGAAAAAAAGCACCCCTCCGATGATGCTGGCGCGCCTTACTGCGCTGACGTGCTTCTGCAGAGTAGAGGCCATACTCTTCGACGAGCCACTAACGAAACCCTTGGACGACATCACCGAGGCCCGGCAGCTTCTTGCGGTCAAGCTGCGGCAGCTGCACGACTTTCAGTTCGAGTAAGTAGGCTGCCATACACCGGACTCTAAAACTTTTCACTCAAATTCTCACCCAACTACTCGCTGTATCTGCCCACTCAATGCAGGCAGTGCGTCGATCCACACCGGGGCTCGCTCGACGATGTTTACACGGAGGAGCAGTTCCGCATTCTCGTTTCAGACATCCTGCCGTACTGGGCCAAGGAGTACTTTCGGGAGTCGATGAGTTACCCCAGTCAGTCGCTGTGGAGGGCCTTGGCCGTGAGGGTGATGATCCTGATGGCGCATCACATGCTGGGCAGGGGGATAAGCATCCGCGAGATCCGCTACTGCAATATGTTCACTCACGTCCTTCCGCCCATCACGAACAGCAAGGGGGAATCGTCTATCCACGTTCTCGTGGTCGCCTATCGCAACTCGAAGACCATCAAAGACAACAAGCTCGGCCACCTATACCTGACTCGACACATGGACTTCCGGCAGTGCGGCTTCGGAGCAGTGTTCATGTGGATACATTTCATTTTCGACCTTGTGCCGCTCCACTACAACAACGATAACATCGTGCCCCCCTTGGATTTCAGCAACCCGGAAAATTGGTCAAAGAAGCACCTGTTCTTCGCCCTCTTCGACAAAGACAAGACCGAGTTGCCGTACGCGACTCATGCCAAATGGGTTACCTGGGCGATGAAAAACGCGGAGTGGATCCTGTCGAAAGTCACACATATCTTTCGACGGTCTGCGGCACAAATCCTCGCCGACAAAAACTGTGAACTCGACAACATCGCGCAGCTGGGTCAATGGGACATGAACGAGATGCGCAGGTCATACGTCACAGGCATCCCGCGCGGGGCCATCCAGCTGCAAGCGGGTTTCACGACGGAACCGGGTGACTATTACCTTGAAAGATCGAAGAGCGAAGTACCCGCGAAGGTCCTGAAGGCTATCGAGGAGCACATATTTCCAAAGGCGGAGCAGTGGCTCGACGAGGTATGGATGCGTCGAGCACTTAGCGTGATCATCGAATGCAAGTTTTGCCCATCTATCTCTCAATGTCCCCACGTTTGTTCTTGTTCAGGCGATGGAATGGAACAACGAGCAGGACAAGGAGCATATGTTCTTCGCAGCGAAAAGTTTCTTGAAGGCCCTGCAAGCCGCCCGAATGCCCATCGCCGAGGATCTTGCGATGTACTACGTCCATTGTGACGACCACCCCTTCGACGGAGTGACTGTTTGCGACTGCGAGCGTCACCCTTATGTACAGATGTCCGGTTTGTGCAAGGACATGGATTTCCAAAAATGGGCGCTTGACGTGTACCTGCTCGACAAATACGGCATCGAGATGCGGACCAACCCCACGTTGTCGAAAGCTTCGGTAAGATGGCCCTTCTAAATCTTAATCCGAACAGATTGCATCAGCCCACTTACCTACCGCTCGTGATCTTGTGCGCAGGACGCATCCTTTCAACTCAACACCAAGCACCTCATCACGCAACTTTGGGCAGAGGTCAACTTACACAAGGAGGAGGGTGGGAAAAAAGAAATCAAGATCAAGGGCCTCGAGCAGAAGGTCGAGTCATTGGAGCGGGAGAAGGGCGCGATGCAAGCGGAGTTGGAGGCGAAGGCAGAAGCACTCACGCTACTGCAGAAAACGTTCGACGCACTGAAGATTACCGCCGCGACAACCGCAGCTGCGAGTGTGGGGGGGAGCGAGAGTGTGCCGCAGACGGCGACCGAAGAAACTCCGCCACCACAGCAACCCCCTCAATCAACGCCCACTCAACAGAACAAGGGCAGCCAGCTCGACCAAGCATTCTTCGACGCAGTGGTGTGGCCGTGGTGCAATTGCGAGACCGTGCGGCAGGCGTGGTCGTACTGGGACGGGCCAAGCCCGCTGAAAAACGGACACAGTCTTCGACACGCTTACAGGAGGGGTTTCGCCGTCAAGTTCAGCAAGTTCACTCCGACTCCTCCCACCGTTCCCCCCGTTGCGGTGGACCAGCCAAAAGAAAAGCCACCGACCCCAAAAGCCGTCGAGTCGAAATTGCGGAAGATGGAGGTTGTCATGAGGGCCGTCGAGATATTCAGGGTCGACGACAGCAGCGCGGCTACGTCGACGATCATTGATAAGCTTGAATCAATAGTCGCGAACCACTCGATCAACATGCTGGCTGAAGGGCTCGTTCTCAAAGAGGATTCGGGGAAGCAGCTCACGAAGAAGCGCAAAGTCGAGACAGCAGAAGACAACCGGAAGGACAAAGATCGCCTCAGGATCACGCGGGAGCTCATTCGCGTCGAGCTTCGAACCACGAAATGAGCCGAGAACGTGCTCAAAGACAAATGGAAAGAGTTCATGAAAACATTGGGCGAGAGCCCAAGTTCGACAGGCAATCGTGACGAGGGGGAAAACTAGAGTAGGGTGTTCTTTCAGAGATTGCATGGCAGGTTCTCATTACTGACCGACCATCTTGCCTGTATGAACCTTCTGAGCATTATCGCAAACGGAAAGACCAGATCCATGCAACATGTACATGCTGTCGATTAAAATTTGGAAACAACAAACACAATTGTCTAGAATAGCAAACACCCCCACTACTCCCCTTGCCCGCTCGTTTCCGTCTCAGCTGCATCCTCGACGCCCTGCTTTGCCTTGCTCTTTTCTTCTGGCATAGCCAGGCTGCCATAGCCCGCGTCCTCCAGCAAGCGGGCAGCAGCTCGACATCAGCACCATTGCGTACAGACCTGTGCTGCCACGCGCAGCATCTGCAGCAATATGGCGTCCGTCGAGCCAAGACCTTCGACAGCCGACGAATACAGGTGATCGGGCCACTGCTTCGCCGGGAACGTCTTGCCGACGTGCAAAAGTATGGACACGAGGGCGGACATGGCAGCCACACAAGCCTTCTTTGGAGTCTCCGGGGCGTAGATCGCCGCATTTGCGGCAGCTAGGGCGTCCTTCTTAATATCCTCCCTCGACAACTTCCTGCAGGCCGCCCACAAGCTCGCCACAGTTGCTGTGATGGCCATCATGTGCGGTGTCGCCGCCATGCCCTTCGGGACCGGGTAAATCAGATTCCCGTGCTTCAGGCCAAGCGTCGCGACCTTACCAATCGCCACGCACAACGCGATTCCCCTCTCGGTTCCGGCTTTCACTTACTTTTTTGCCGTCGCCAACAGCGACAGGTAACTGCACATCGCAAGAAATGCGTTAGTCAAGAGGCCAGAATTCGACCGACAGCACATTCACCGTAAAACAGCAAGTGTTCGACAAATCACCAAAACAGCAGGAATTCAACAGTAGAGTCTAGCAACATGACTTCGACAGGACTTACTTGTCGAAACGACATTCCCCTTGTTCTTGCGCCACGCTCCAAACGCCGGTTGGCATTTCTGCGGCCGCATCGAGGTAGACCTTCCAGTCCTCCTCATCCTGCGCCGTGTACCCTTCATACTCCGTAAGGACAACGTCGGGGAAGTACACGCGCCAGCAGACGGCCGTACAGAACTTCTGGTCCTTCTCTGTTTCAAAAGTGCCAAGGAACCGCTTCCTCCCGCCGACGGTCTGCTCGGAAACCAGCTTCCCCTTCCGCAACCCGAAACCCGGTCCTTTGAAGGGACGTTTGCAGCCTCTCGTCTTGCCTTGGTCGTCCGGTCGAGGAGGTGGGGTGTGACCCGTGACCCTGGCCTTCTTCGCCTTTTCCTGTCGAGCAGCAACAACAATAGAGGTCTTCTCGACAGGCGCCTGACCAGGGACGCTGGCCAGCTCCACCACGTCAATGCTCTCTGTCGCGTGTGCAGCGCGCTTCGACGACTTTGAAGGGGAGCCCGGATCGCTAAGGAAAACGTTGCCTAGGGACGGAGCAGCGGCGACAGGAGCAACTGGAGGGGTTGAGGAAGACGCCAAATTTCCCACAAGCCCGACAGCAAGGCCAGCACCACCGCCGTGCGTAGCTGATGCCGCTTTAGTCTTCGACAGCAACCCTGCGCTTGCTTCTCCCGCTCCTTTCCCCGCACCGCCGCCTGACGGGGTAGAGGCACCTCGCATTCCTAGGGCTCTGTTCCCGGTCGAGGCGACGTGCTCGTTCGGGGCACCACTTTTCTCCCCCGCGACCACTCCTTTCCCACCCGTTTTCCCCAGGTCTTGCAGCATGTCCCGCATCGAAGCAAACGCATCAGGTTGATCGATCGGAGCCGCCACGGAGATCTTCGGGAGGGCTGACTGGTCGAGTACGATGACTTTGGGGACGGGCTTGGCGACGGGATGACGGCCACGCGCCGGTGGGGATCCAACCGGGCTGCCGACATGTCCTCCCACCAAAGAAGACGGAGGAACCGACCGCTCGTGACCTCGAGGCTCAGCCCCGCTGCGAACCCCTCCCACACCCTCCTGACGCGACCTCGTCGACGGGCCCGCCGAGCGTTGAAAACCTCTCGCCATCGCTTCGGTGAGGACTTCCAACCTCCCTGCTTCGGCTTCATGGTAGCCTTCCCTCACAATGTCCTTCAGCTCCTTCATGGTCTCAGGTGGGAGGGTGGAGCAAAACATGTCCTCCATGATGGCTTTCTCGAAACCCTTCAGCACCGCAGCAACCAGCCGCTCCTCGACCTGCTTGAGCTGCTTCTCGACGGCGTCCTCGCTCGCTTTTGTGATGGCGGCTACCACCCCCTCGATGATCTTCCCGCTCATCTCGTCGATCTTCGCCCGCGCCCCTTCCAACAGGTTCCTCTCCGCCGTGACACCCTTCACAGCCTCGGCGCACTTCGACAGTGTGCTCTTCGACGACTCCGAAATCGTATTCCACGCCGTCCAAAAATCCACAGCAAGCCTGTTGAATACTCGGGCTTGCTCAGTGTGTTTCGCAAATATATCGGCGACGAGCTGCTTCTGCGACGCCTCGACCCTCTGCAGTAGCTCGACGACCTGGCCTCCGGGTGCAACGTTCGCCGTCGATTGGCCTGCCGTCGAAGGCCACCCGGTCGAAGGGCCCGCCTGTCCGCTGCCACTGGCCGTGCGGTGACTCCTTGTTACGGCGGCCTGTCGCTCATCTCCTCGACGATACTCCTCAGCAGCCTCCCCGTCCTCCTGCTCCTGCCCTCCCGACCCACCCACCTGCGCAGCCGCAACCCTAAACTCCTGCTGCTGCACTCCTGCCCCACCCTCCTGCGCAGCCGCCACACCCTCCTGCTGCTGCCCTCCTGCCCCGCCCTCCTGCGCAGCCGCCTCGCCCACCACCTGCTGCTGCCCTCCGACCCCACCCTCCTGCGCAGCCGCTCCGCCCTCCTGCTCCTCGACAGCCTTTGTTTCCCCTGTCGCCTGCTGCTCGATAAGCTCTACTCGCTTGTCCACCCGCTCCCCGAGCGCCACTCCGTGCTCCCCCGTACGCTCCATTCGATGTCCGGCGCCCTCGCCGTCGTCCTCGACCGACTCATTGCTCGAGCTCGAGCCGGAGCTCGATCCCGAGGTCAAGTCCTCGTCCTGGTTCGCATCGCCGCCCGGGCCGCTCGCCCCGTGCTGAGCCTGCCTCGATGTATCCTCCTCGATCTCCTCCTCCTCCTCGACGCTGTACTCAATCACAACGCGTCCCGTCTTCTCGCCTCCTCCCTCGTGGTCGGCACCCCCTCCCACACCTGCTCCCTCCGCCAGCTGGTTGATCTTTCTCGAAAACAGCTTGACCATGAACAACGGAAGCACACCCGGGCCAGGGTTCGTTCTCCCTAGAGGCACGAGTTCGCCTTTCGAGGCTGTAGGATGAAGTCGTCCCATTTCAACAGAATCCGGCGCACCCCATGCACGACACGAGCTGCCGCGCTGTTTTCATAGGGGCTCGACAAGGACGTCGTCGTCTGCGACGGGTACAAAACATACGTAAGCGACAAAACACATGCTCGACAAAAACGCTGTTGGTCTAAGGAAAGCTTACCAGATGGTCGAAATTCTCGTTCAACTCCAGACGAAGGTCCATCACCTTCAACACTTCTTGGTCGTCCTCGGACAGAGCCTGGTGGGTCATCGCGTACTCGGCGCGAAGCTGCTTCTTCATCCACCTGCGACGCAGCGGACAGAAGAGTAAGATTGTCGAGAATAGCAGCTCGACAGCAGGGTTGCAAAGCAGTCACTCACACAAAAACTTCTTGCGCCAGAGAAGATTGGTGGTTCATATCGGGAAACTTGTCTTTCGAATCGAAGTGCATCATTCGAGTTCGACTGCCACGGTGCCTCGGAGCCAGCAGATCATCGGGGCGCGATACCACAAGCAGGCTCGAGTGGGAGAACGGAGGCACACTCAGTCTGCATGCACAGCCAATGCACGTGAGAACGGGTTCAGGGCTAAAGACAGAGCACGCAAGGCGACGGGAGAGTGTCGAACTCACGGTGTCCGCAGCAGAACGAAAACCACTTGCTTGCCGAGGAGGCCGTCGAGGTGGTTGTTCGCAAAAGCGACCGGGGTGGGACGGGCCATCTCTTCACGCGCACGCGCCGGAGTCACGATCGACACCTTGGGGAGCTGCTCGACGGAGAGCAGCTCATGACAGAACAGGCTGCACGGAAAGCTAAGTCAACGTCAGCGATAGGTAAACCGAAACATGGCGAACCGAAAATGTTCGACAGGACACGTACACGACGCCCGCGACCATCATGCTCTCATCGAGCTCCCCTTTCGGCGCCTCTCTAATTGCATTCAGCTGGTCCTCATACACCTCCACCTCGACCTCGCCTGCACTAAGGATGAGGCCGCGTCGAACCGTCGCCTCGTTCATGACGGGTACGGAGGCGGGGCCCGTAGCCATGTCTGTTCTAACAGTGGAGAGGGCGGACGCGCAGGGGAGTTGGGAACTAGCAGGGACTAGGAAGTAGGGAAGCAAAAATCGGAAACAGCAACAAAATGAGACCGGACGCAGGGTATTAGCTGTTTGCCATCCCTCCCACCGCGACGGACCAGGGGGGTTCAAGGGCGAGGAGGCAGGGCGCGTTCCGAGACGTGGGAGGATGAGGGAGGAGCTCTTCGCGGAGGCCGGCGGGGCCCCATTGGCCTCGACGTGAAACCTGGTTGTTGGTAGCATGGGGTGGGCAGCCTTGCATGCAGCTGAAAGGCCCCTTCCAAGGTTCGGGAGGGGGCCTTCGACACGTCGCCAAGTTCGAGAACGAAACGGGCCTGTCTAGGGCGAGAGCGGTGGAGCGCGGCGCAGATGGGCGTCGCTTTCGTCTGGCCGGCGAAATTTAGCGGACTGGTTCCGTCGGCGAGGCGTCGCTCGGCGAAGGATGGGTGGGTTACCTGACGGAACCCGTCCACGAACCGAGCGAGGGGTTGGGAGGGGGACCACTGCCAGCTCGAGGGCGCGGGCTGCTGGCGTCATCGGCAGCTGGCGCCAGCTGGGGGTGCCCGTTTTCGGGCGGGAGGGGGGGGGGTGGCTCCCGCCCCTCGCGTGCGCCGCTAGGCGACTGCGGGAAAACGAAAATCCCTCCGAGGAAAATCCGCAGGGGCGAATGGGTTTTCGCGGAGGGATTAGGGCGAGGTCTTCCCGTATCAGCATATAGACTGTTGCTGATAAACATTGTAGAATTAGCCGCCTGGCCGCAGCTGCCTCCTTAAAGCCCAAAACCTGAATTACTCAACGGAAGTCAACGCTAAATACTAGGTTCGGGAGGCAGGCACGGAGAGGCTCGTTTGGGTTGCGAGAGACTTTCACTCGCGAAACCAATTTGCGACAAAAGTTTCTCGCTTCCCATGATGGGTGGGGTCCTTCCCACAACCAGAAAAGCACGTGCATACCAAACTGTCCACAGTTTGAGATAGCACGCAGATTAATAGGCATAGACCATCTCTGTAGACAGGGCAGGGCGTCGGCGTTCACTCAAAAGGGATCAGATGCGCCTTACGATGTGGGTGGCGCGGATTTTGATGATGACGCGCAAAGCTAGTGCTCGCTGGGTGAAGATTTTTGTGTCGAAATGCATTTTATTGTGCAACTACTGCGTAGCGTAAACTCGCGGCGAAAATCGAATCGCACCCGTTCGCCCAAGCGTGACCCTCCCCTCGCCCTCGCTTTCATTTCCCTAGGTCCCACGCTTCCGCTCTCTGTCGCCCGCGTCGTCGCCATCGCTTCCGCAGCTCGTCGCGTTCGCGACCCCTGCCCGTCGCCTTCGCTCCGCCCGTCGCCTTCACTTCCCCCCCGTCGCCTTCACTCCCCCCCCCCCCTTCCCCCCCCTTCCGTCGCCTTCACTTCCCCCTCTCGTCGCCTTCACTTCCCCCTCCCGTCGCCTTCACTTCCCCCTCCCCTCGCCTTCACTTCCCCCTCCCGTCGCCTTCATTTCCCCCTCCCCGTCGCCTTCACTTCCCCTCCCGTCTCCTTCATTTCCCCCTCCCGTCGCCTTCACTTCCCCTTCCCGTCGCCTTCACTTCCCCCTCCCGTCGCCTTCACTTCCCCTTCCCGTCGCCTTCACTTCCCCCTCTCGTCGCCTTCACTTCCCCCTCCCGTCGCCTTCACTTCCCCCTCCCGTCGCCTTCACTTCCCCTTCCCGTCGCCTTCACTTCCCCTTCCCGTCGCCTTCACTTCCCCCTCTCGTCGCCTTCACTTCCCCCTCCCGTCGCCTTCACTTCCCCCTCCCGTTGCCTTCACTTCCCCCTCCCGTCGCCTTCATTTCCCCCTCCCCGTCGCCTTCACTTCCCCTCCCGTCTCCTTCATTTCCCCCTCCCGTCGCCTTCACTTCCCCCTCCCGTCTCCTTCATTTCCCCCTCCCGTCGCCTTCACTTCCCCTACCCGTCGCCTTCACTTCCCCCTCTCGTCTCCTTCATTTCCCCCTCCCGTCGCCTTCACTTCCCCTTCCCGTCGCCTTCACTTCCCCCTCTCGTCGCCTTCACTTCCCCCTCCCGCCGCCTTCACTTCCCCCTCCCGTCGCCTTCATTTCCCCTTCCCCGTCGCCTTCACTTCCCCCTCCCGTCGCCTTCACCTCCCCCATTTCCCCCCTTCACGCTCTCTTACCCCCTCTGCTCGCCCCTGTTTTCCCGGCTCACTCCTATACTCACTCTCTCCCTCCCTGCTCACTCTCTTCCCCCCTGCTCACTCTCTTCCCCCCTGCTCACTTTCTTTCCCCCTGTTCTCATCCCTCTTTCCCCCTTTCTCACCCATTTCCCCCCTGCTCGGTCTATTTCCCCCTGTGCTCGCCCCTAAAATCCCCTGCTCACTCCCTTACCCCTGGTTCACTCTCTCCCCCTCTGGTCACTCTCTTTCCCCCTGTACTCACCCATCTTTCCACCCTGTTTACTCTCTATTCCCCTTTTTTCAACCCTTTTCCCCCCCCAAGTCCTCTCATTTCCCCTCCTTAGCCCCATGCTTACTGGCTATCCCCTTTGCTCACCGCCTTCTCCACCCTGCTCTGCTCACTCTGTTCCCCGCTTCGCTCACTCCTCTGCCTAACTCCTCCCATACATGCCCTCCACCTTCACCCCTCGCTTATTCTACCATATCCCCTCTTCCCTCCCCGTTCCATATAGAACCATGCGTGTACAGGTGCCAGCACCATGGGTCCCAACAGGAGTGGGTTAAAAAGTTACCACCTCCTAGCTTTGTGCTTGTGCTTATAGTCTTGTCTTGGCAACATAAATGGAACATTATTTTGCTTTGTTGCACTTTTTCATAATGCTCCAAATCACGATGTGGTGTATTATGAGACGCATCCAACCAACTTCAATAACGGTACATGGCATAGCTATTGTAGACAACTAATATTATCAAACCCTATACTCATCACTACTGGATGCATGGCAGACCTGCACAGACACGAACCACAAACTCTGATGGAGGGTGGGGAACAAAGAATGCACGGAGGCAGAAAATGAGCAAGGGAGACACGGAGGAAGGGCGGAAGGGTGAGCGAGACGAAGCGTGGGTACAGGAGAGAGAGCACGGAAAGGCACTAAGGCAGAAGCGTGGGCGACGGTGAGAGGATGGGCGGATGAGATGATGGGCGGAAGAGAGGATGGGCGGATGAGATGATGGGCGGATGAGAGGAAAAAGTGCGGCTGGGTACAAGGGGGAAGGTAGAAGGGTGGAACGGAGGAGCAGGGTTGGCGTGAGGAAGGGAGCGGGAGAGTGGGAGATGGAAAGGGGAAGGGGGACTGGATCGAGGGAGGAGAGGAGAGGAAGAATGGCAGGAAAGAAGGATGGGAGGAAGGGAGGACGGGCAACAGAGAGGGTAAAGAGGGTAGTGAGGCAGAGAGATGGAAGAAGGGAGGAAGGGAGAGGGAGAGGAGGACGACTGTGGGGGAACGACGGAACGGAGTAAGGGAGGAGGGCAGGAGGTAAAAGTGTGGTAGGGTATAAGGGTGGAATGGGGGATAGGAGGATCCCTGCACCCTCTCTCCCTAACCCCCGCCTCCCCTGCCCCGCCTCCCCCGCTCCCCTGACCCGCCCCCTGCAGCACTGCACTCCTTGCTGCCCGCCTGCACGCGCTGCCCTGGCTGTGCGCCAAATACTCTGCTCCAAAGCCGCACCACCACCTGCCATGCGTGTGGGGTTGGTGCGAGAGAGGAGAGGAGGTCAGTGCAAGAGAGAGAAGGGTGGGTGCTGCTGACCACGCACCCTTCCACACCCCACAGCGAACGAGTCACGACCCCTTCCCCAGCTCCCAGCCCAGCTCGCCATACCTCCCCGCCCAGGGTGGGTGAGGCTGATGGGGAGGGAGAATGAGAGAGAAGGAAATAAGGGTGCAAGGGTGGGGTGGTAACCATGGGCGATGGTAGGAGTAGAGAAGGTGGTAATGGGGAGAGCGTAAGCGACCTAACGAGGCAATTTGGAAGGGATACAACGACCACCCTAAATGCGATAAGAAGGGATGAGAGGGTGGGCGGCATGGGTGGAGACGCGATGGTGAATAGGGGGAACGTGATGGGCAGGGGAGTGATGACGACGTGGAGAGAGGTGGGAGAGAAGGGAGGTCGGCGGGAAGTCTAACTGAGGGCGATGGGAGGGCAAGCGTGGGCGACAGTGGGGGTGGGCCACAGTGGCGGTGGGCGACGGTGGGGGGAAGCGTGGGCGACGGTGGGGGAAGCGTGGGCGACGGTGGGGGGAAGCGTGGGTGACGGTGGGGGGAAGCGTGGGCGACGGTGAGGGGAAGCGTGGGCGACGGTGGGGGGAAGCGTGGGCGACGGTGGGGGGAAGCGTGGGTGACGGTGGGGGGAAGCTTGGGCGACGGTGGGGGAAAGCTTGGGTGACGGTAGGGGGAAGCGTGGGTGACGGTGGGGGGAAGCGTGGGTGACGGTGGGAGGAAGCGTGGGCGACGGTAGGAGGAACAGTGGGCGATGAGAGGGGAATCGTGAGGGAAGGTGGGGGAAGGCATGAGCGACGGTGTGGGGAAGCGTGGGGGAAGGCAGGAGGAAGCGTGAGCGGAGGTAAGGGGAAGCGTGAGCGACGATGGGGGAAAGCGTGGGCGACGGTGAGGAGAAGCGTGGGCGTGTGCGTGGGGAGGTGTGTGAGAGACGGTGGGGAGAAGCGTGGGGGACGCGGAAGGCGATAGGTCCAAATGCGATGTTTGGGGATGGGCTAGGATTAAATGTGAAAATGCTCATGGCCTATGCTTTAGTGGCCTTTTATTCTATCTCTTCGCATGATCTAATCGCTTCGCGTACAATGGCAATCGCACGACCTGAATTACCAAAGGAGGCAAACTATGCACATTTTGAGCCCTTGTTCCTTCAAGTGGGTATGGTTGGGACTCTCGCCAACCAAACCCGTTCTGCTCTACGACACTCTGTTTTTTGGCGCTTTGTTTTCTAGTAACCAGCCTGGCTCGGGAGGTCAACTGTGGGTTCGGTAGGCAAACTGTGCACAATTTGCCTTCCTTTTTTGTAATTCAGGTCTTGGGCTTTAATTGCATTTTGGTTGGTGAAGCCGATCTTGCTCGACCCAGCTATTGTCCTAATCTCCACAGGAAGTGCCAGGGAGGAATGGATCTGCACCCAGATTTGCTGTGGGAAAGTGCATGGGATGCTGTTTGTTTCTGCTGCAGAGCACATCACTGCTTCGCGTCATCTGCACGGACAGGGAGAGTTGGGTGCGGTTACTCGCCTGACAAGGGAAAAGGAGAATCTGCATACGGTTCGCAAGGAGTATGGAATTTAACAGATCCGGACTGGCTTACCATGTCCATATCGGCTAGAGCGGCGGTTGTTGCTGTTTTATGTCTTACCTGCCTGTGGATGCGTAGAGGCAATCAAGGAGTTATTAAATGAATACACGGAATGCCTTGACGTTTGCGGGCCTGAATGTCAACGGCCTAGGAGATTTCACGAAGCGGAAACGCACAACGGCATGGATTAACAGTAGAAAAGGAGCTGATGTCATGGTCTTGTCGGACACCCGTGTTGTAGATGATCACACTTACTGGGCCTCCCTTAACCTCACTTCCTTCGCCGCCTCCTCGTCTGTGACCCGAGCTGGAGGGGTAGCAGTCCTCAGCAGGCGAGCAGATCTCTCCTTTCATAACCCACTAGCTCACCCCTCAGGAAGGCTTGTCAAGACAGAAGTCCATTGCTCAGACCTTTGCCTCACCCTGATAGCGACCTATCTTCCTGCAGACAAAGCGGAAAAGAGAGCATTCATTAGAATTGTTCTTAGCCCAATCTTACGCCTTATACCACCAAGCTCTCACCTGCTTATCCTAGGATACCTTAACACTATTGAGAACCCACTGCTAGACAAGACTTCAAAGAAGGGTTCAACCAGGGAAAACGACTTTCTCTTCCACCATTGCTCGGCCTTTGCCATCTCAGACGCCTTTCGCTCACTTCATCCATCTGAATGGGAGTTTACCTTTTTTTCTCAGGTGCACCAGGAGAGCTCAAGGATTGATCGAGCATTGGTCTCTCAGTCTCTGCTCCCACGCCTGGTATCAGCATCGCATGTCTCGCCGGATGAACTAGTCTCTGACCATGGGTTCGCCATCCGTGTAGCATTCAAACTCAAGTCGCAGTTGTAGTTGGGGCCGGGGCTTTGGCGTTTTCACCCTTCACTGCTGTGCAGGTCAGGAGCCAAGAAAAGGATCGAGGAGGTTGATCGGTCTGTCATGCGAAATGATGGGAGCTTCGCAACCCTCATCTCCCGCCTGAACGCCAGTTTACAGACATATGCAAAGGAGGAAAGCAAACGGATCAGAGCGACCATTACTCATCTCACCAAGGCAGTGGCTGCCTTGCGGCAAAAATTTATGCAGAATTTGAAAGACCAAGTGCTGAAAGAGTTGCTGAGGAAGAAAGAGCAGCAGCTTAAAGAATACTTCGCGTGTCGGCGGGACAGGATGCATACCATGGCTGGAATGGAGGCGGCGCTGTCAGGAGAGGTCCCCTCATCGCACCTGTCAGCGAGAATTAAAACACGGAAGTCCAGGACGCTGATATCCGAGGTGGCAGTGACGGGTCGAGTGGTGTCGGAGCCAAAACACATCCTGAAAGCAGCATCGGATCTTCCGTGATCTGTTCGGGGAAGATAAGCAAACGACAGCTTTGGACTGGAACCCAGCGGTGGGGAAGAAGCTTTTTTACTCTGACGTGGAAAGCCTTCAAGAAGATTGGACGGAAGAGGAGGTCAGACAAGCGGTGAAGGAGATGGCTTGCAACAAAACACGAGGGAAGGATGGATTACCGAAGGAGGTGTTTGAGCAGCATTGGGATGTGCTCGGGAAGCATGTCATGGCGTTGGTCCGAGACTTCACGGCCACCTCCTCACTCTCGGCCAATGTCAAGGACGCAGTTACGATCCTCCTGCATAAAAAGGGAGAAAAGGAGCAATTGGAGAATTACCGTCCCATCACGCTGCTTAACATGAGCTATAAGGTGCTGGCGCGGGTTCTAGCAAGCAAAATTAAGAAGGTACTGCACATGGTAATCTCGCAGGAGCAGTTCGGCTTCATCCCGGGGACGAGAAAGACTGATGCGGTGGGGCTGGTTGCGGATGTCATTGCTGCAGCTAAAAACGGGAGTGAAGACTGGTTCATGTTGCTAGTCGACTTCAAGAAGGCGTTTGATTCGGTTTCCCGGGACTACATCTTCGAGGTGATGGAGAAAATGGGCTTCCCGGCTCGTTACATTGGTTGGGTGAAGGGCTTGCACACGAACACGCGGACAAACTTGCTGATTAATGGCTGGCTAGGGGAGGCAGTGAAAGTAGTCTCAAGGGTGAGGCAAGGATGTCCCTTAGCGCCTTACCTCTTTCTGTGCGCGGTTGAGCCTTTGGCGCAGAAGGTGGTGAAGAGGAAATTGGGGATCTCCCTTACCAGCTGCGTCGACCAACGATTGGCGTACATTGGCTATGCTGACGATACGACCCTCCTACTGCAAGGCAAACCACAGATTGGTAGGGCCGAGGAGGTGTTGGAAGCTTTTAAGAAAATCTCTGGCCTGAAGACGAACAAGGAGAAATCGGTGGTGTTGCCGCTCGGAGCTAACCTGAGGAAGACGGCCTGGCGCTCAAACGGTTTTCGATGGGCGGGCGTGGATGAAGCGGAGAGGCTCCTTGGGGTATGGGTCACGCCGAGCGGGAGCTGTCAGCCGACGTGGGATAAGGCGCTGCAGAAAATTGCTGGGAAGATGGCGTTGTGGCAACTGCAATACCTCCCAATTAAGGCTCGAACGGCGGTGATGGACGGGTACATCCTGCCGATTGCGTGGTCTCAGGCTCAGGTTTATCCGCCGCCTGCGCAAACCTGGAGCGTGATCACCAAAATGACACACAACTTTATGTCAGCAAACAAGGTCACGGCTGAAAAATGTTTCCGCCTCTGGAGCAAGGAGCTGTTGTTCACCCCGGTACTGGAAGGAGGGGTGGGGGCGAAAAACCCGGAAACAATGCTTACTTGCCTGACCGCCAGGAGGATAGGGCTGGTACTTACGGAAACGGATCAGCTGAAGCGGGAGCTGATGCGTCGGGCAGCCGATCTACCACGGAGGCTGGAGACGTTCATGGCGCATGAAAGAATTCTGAAATTATGGGAGGGGAAAAGCCAGCGCTGGAAATTGGCGTGTCCGAATTTTATGCACTCCCCGCTTGCGGAGACTACGGAAAAACGGGAGACTAAGGAGCTGATGTTGGAGAGGATTTCGTTTAACAGGCACATCCTCCTGAAGGGCACCATGCCGGTGGGGGGGCAAAAAACAGCAAAGCAACTTCTTGGTGTCAGACTTGGGGACTTGATAGGGAGAAACGCGGAAGGATGTGGAGTGCTGAAGAGCCTGGAAACCCTGGAGAGAGAGCTGCGGGGGAAGGACACATCTAACCTAGCGCTCAAAGCATTCGCAGCAGCGCCAGAATCATGGAGGAAGCAGCTCCTCTCAGCCGAGCTTCCGAACGTGGGGTTTGCGGAGGAGTTTGATGTGGGAAGGAAAGGTCCTCTGCAGCTTCAATTGAAATTGTTGGCGGAGGGGGAAGCAGTTCCGCTGCGGTCGCTCAGGAAGCACTGGAGGCATGGCAACAGCGGAGTGTCTAGGCGGGAGAAGTGGGAGAGCCGATGGGGTGGCAACATTGATTGGAAGCGGGTGGTACAGATTCGTGAATCACTTGTTACCCCAAGCCGTCCGAGAGATGTGTTGCTGCGCATTCACTGCCTCAATCTGCAAGTCGGGGAGAGATTAGAATTTCTCAGCAGCAAACCGGTCCGACCCCACTGCTACGCTTTTGAGACTCTAGAACATTGCCTCTTGGATTGTCCGAAAATCCAAGGGGTGGTTTCGGCGATTAAAAAAAAAAGCTTTACGGATGATTAAACCGGCCAGGAAAGGGGACACACTCGGTCATTGGCTGTTTGGCAAGGCAGGCTCCGTGTCAGCATTTCCAGAGGCTTCGTTGGTAGCGATTGGCCTCCATCAGCTGTGGGCGGAACGGTGCGAGGGGGCATTCAGAGGCTGCAAGTTCCGCACGCGGAGAGTTCTTCGGAAGATTGAGTCAGCTCTCCGCATGCATGTGAACGTTTATGCGCGTGCCTCGGTGGCGAGGATGCGGCAGTGTGGGAGAGTGAAGTACGCCAGGTGGCAGAAAATGACGGAGCAGGAACGTGTTCTTCTGAGCCGTATCAGAGTGGTGGATGGCAAAAGCTGGAAGTGGTCTACCCGTATTCTCCCGGACATAACACCCTAGGGTATACCTAAAAATACAGGGAAAAAATGGGGGGGGTCTCCTCATAGGAAAAAAATACATAATACGCGGGTCTTATTATATTGCACATTTTTTATATGCAGAAATGAATGGAAACAAAAACAGGGGTCTGGCCTTATTATTATTTTTTTGATCACGGCCGCCAAACCGTGTCTACGAGGAAAACGTCGTCCTCCAGTGGAATCTGCCACATGG